GTTTGCTCATGTCTGGGGGTCTCCACGTTAGGTGTCGGGATCCCTGTTCCTGCTGTCACCACTGTAAGCAGCTCCTATGGTAAAGCCTCTTCATTGTGACTCAGCTAAAGTCTACATCACACAGTATTAGATGTGATAGAAAAAGTCCGCTGGACGAAATATATTAATTATAAACTCAAATAACGTTATGAGCTCAACTCTCAATGATTTGAAAGTGATAAACACAACAACCAAAACACCCTATGGGTCTGACCGGTGACTTGACATATTAGTTACCTTGATTCAAATGCATAGTTTCTGTTCACATCGCTATTGATATAATTTTTGTTTTGAACTGTATCCTGCCAGCATTGGGTAGTGTATGAAAAGTGATTTATACCCACTTACACTTCAAATATCCAAATTGGAGTAAGTATTTTGTGTAATCTTGCTTGCATAAAAAGAGAATTTAATACTTGAGGCTAATGAAAGGACATTTTCTTTTATAACTAAATTTGTTAAAATCCTGGAAGATAAAGAAGGAGATATTCATTTTATAGAAATAGAAAGAGAGGCACAGAGGTGTCAGGAATCCTACTGCCGTGAGCTGAGTCCCTGCAGAACTGAGACTAGAATCCAGTGCTCACAGCTCTGTTTACCTTCCCTCATCCCTGACCACGCCAGCGATTGCTGACCGGGGTCTAAATGGGATGCTTTCATTTGCATTCAGTCTCCTAAATGGTCAAGAGACAGCAAGGATGGGGTAGGTGGAGAAAGGGAAAGATTTTTTTTCCTTCAAACATTATTTACCTCTACTGCATCCTGGATGTATGTAGATGATATGGTGCAACGTGTGACGCACTCAACAAATGAGCCATCCTTTCTGGAAGTACTTTTGAATCCCGCTTACTTGAGAAAATGACATTTGCTCATATCAGAAGCGAAACTTTATTTTAAATTTTGATGCCTTATTAAAGGAGGGATCCAAGCCCTTTCGCCAACCTCTGCACTCCTGTGTCCATCACCAGGACACCCGTTAGGAGAGGGGGAGGGGGAGGGTCAGGGTCACTGTTGACCAGAGACTACCACCCTCTCTCCTTGCTGTCACTGAATGTTTGGAAGTTTCTTCTCCTGCCCTAAGGGACTTTAAGGGCTATGAAAATCATGACAAGTAAGCAGCGAGCTAAACAACAATGCTTGGGGAGAAAATACATCAGATCAGATTTTCACCCAAGTTCAAATTGTCCCAAAATAAAATTACCCTGAAATGAGTAATCAACAGTGGGTTTTAGCTGTGGCTAAGAGGAACAAAAGGGTTGAAACCACATAAAACTTTCAATTCTAATTTTTTTCCTTTTTTTCTCTACATTGAAGGACATTGACCCCAAGGGACACAAGACCCATCATTTCTAACATTCAGGAAAGAAACACTTGCTGTTCTGACAATTCCATTTCAAACTGAGTGATGCTCAACTGACATGGAGCAGGAACCTCGAATCCCAGCTACCACTCCCCAGTCCTAAATGTCAAGGCCGAACCCACAAAGCCTCACTGTCTCCTGGGCCCAGCACCTCCTGTGCAGGTAGGAGGGACAGGATCAGGGAAGAATGATCTGTTAGATTTCCCCTTCACCTGGGAAAACCAGAGGCCTGCAGGGGAAGACGCATAATGAAAGTCCTTACATTCTCAAACCGAAAAGCATCCTGCAAGGAGACAGCGGGATCTGAGCACGTTTTACTAAGAGTTACTTTACTCATTACAGTGCCAGTCTGTTTCTAGGCACTTGAACCTCTTAGGACTTTGCTTCGATTTTGAGAGTACTCATTTTATTACACAGTACACATTCTCCATTTTTTAAAGAACTATTATCCTATCAAATTGAATTCCTCTATTCTCATTACAAATCACCTACCATGACAAACTCTGTTCATTTATCCAGTATTGAGAGTGTCTACTATATTCCAGGCACTGATCTAAGCATCAGAGATACATCACCTGATTTAAACAGAATGAACACTACTTGCCCTAATGGAATTCGTACTCTGGAATGGGAAGTTACCCACCCACCCACACACATATCCCACGTATCTATAAAATATACGTGTTTGTGTCTGTGTGTGTAACGTTAACTATCTATTTTACATTACATGGTTGCATAGTGTACAGTTAAGTGAAAAGTACTAAAAAAAAAAAGCAAAAGTAGGAGATTCTAAGGGGGATTTGATATGAGGAGAAGAAACAGGAACAGCACTAAATAGGATTTCCATGAAAACAGACCTCCTTTTGTTTTATTACCCAATCTGCCACTCCGTGTCTTTTGATTGGAGCATTTAGTCCATTGGCGTTTATAGTAATTCTTGACAGATGTGTGTTTACTGCCATTTGAACTTTGTTTTCCAGGTGGTTTGGTATTTCTTCTTTGTTCCTTTCTTTTCCTTTTTGTTTTTCTTTTTGTGGTTTGATAATTTTCTTTTGTATTAGCTTGGTTTCTTTTTGGTTTTCATGACTCTGTAAAATGCTTTTGATTTGTGGTTACCCTCCATGACTGAAACATTGTGCTGTACCCCAGAAATTGACACAACATTATAAACGGGCTATACTTCAATAAAAATGCATTTAAAAAATAGGCTTCCTTTAAAAAGTTCATTTTAGTCAGTTCAGGCTGCTGTAACAAAAATTCCATAGACTGCATGCCTTAAACAACTAACCTCTGCTTCTCACAGTTCTGGAGGCTGGAAAGTCCACATGAAGGAGCAGACAGACCCAGTGTCTGGCTGTGTCCTCATGTGGCCAAGAGAGAGATCCTCTCTCTTCTCAAAAAGGCACTGACTGCATCCATGAGGGCCCCACCCTCATGACCCAGTTACCACAGTAAGCCTACCTACAAAATCATCACTTTAGGGATTTAAGTTTCCACATAAATATCGGGAGACACAAACATTCAGTCCACAGCAAAGTGGCACTTGGGTCAAACTTGGAGGAGATGAGGGAGCCACTGAGCATCTACACACAGGGAGAAGGTCCAAGAGGTAAGAACTACCAGTACAGAGATGTTGAGACCTGGAGGAAAAATAAGTGTGCTGTTTATGTGGGGAGCACAGACAAGTGAGGAGGGGAGAGTGTGCGTTGGGATGGGGAGGGGATCGGGCAGACAGGACCTGTAGGTATTTGCAGAGCACTGCAAAGAACACTGTCACCAACTGTACACATTCTGGTGTTTTTCCTCCTGACTCTTTTTTTCTATGTTTACACACCGACAAACATTGAAAATGGTTTGATGAAACAGGAAACATACAAGAGAGTCTCTGTCTTATTGTTAGAGCAGGCAGGTAGCTAGATATGAGCAAAGAAAAGGGCACAAGGGTCAAATGGCAGAAAACCATACATCTTGTGAACAACAGGGGTCCTTGGACAGACCAAGAAAAACAGGATCCTCTGGACTGATTAAAAACCATACCTTCTGGGTTGATAAGTGTCCTGGAGGCAGAAGGGTGGGACAGGACAAGAATCCCCACCATCTGAATGTAACCTTTTGATCATTATGACCTCCGTCCAAATGTAACCTTTTGTTTATGATATCCCCATCTCAATGTAACCTTTTGTTCACTGTGACCTCACCCATCTTCCCAACTGAGACTAAATAAAGACAAAAATCCATCCTCCCCACCTGGGAAGGTGAAGCTGGGATGAAGATCAGAAAAGATGACCCCAAACTCCCCCCACCAATGAATATTCTGCCCGTTCATTTTTACACTCATATAACGAGCTTGCCAAGGAAACTCAGGGCAGCCACCCACCTGGGTCTGCCCGCTCTTTCCTTGAGAGCGAGCTATCTGTCCCTTAATAAATCCTTGCTTTGCGTTCTTGACCTCCGCATCTTGTCTCTGAATTCTTTCTGCGACAAGAACCTCTTGCCGACAACACTATCAATGAATGAGACTAAAATGACCTCCCCATGATATGAAATACATCCTGTATAAACACATTAAAGGACCGTATAACCGTCCACTTATCCTTCCAATGGACAGGTGGAAGAAAACAGACCTTGCCCCTTGCTTGTTCCTGGAATGCAGTGAGCTTCACAGTCAATGGCCAAACACTCCCTTGTTACATTTGCCATGCTTTGAGAAAACCAGGAAAAAAAAAAAAAAAAGACCTCTCACTTGGTCTTTTCAATGTGAGTCTTTTACTTTTCCAGGCAGAAAGCCCCCAAGAGGACCCCCCAGAGGACTCCCCCGGGGGAGATAATTATATGTGCACCCACTGAGCTGGATTCGGGGCCGCCAGCTCTGTCTCTGTGAATTGACTTCTCTCTAGTTCATGTCTTAGGGTGGAAACTGAAATCCTTCATGTTATTACGCTAATAAAGAATACAGAACAAAAATAATTTAATAAAGGTAGCCCTTGTTCTTCTGATTTGTGTACCACACCCAGGAAAAAAAAATATCCCATCAGGCAACACTATTCAAATGGTGACAGCTATCAAAATTCATGGGCATCTGCCAGTAGGGATGGAACCAGCCTTCCACAGCTGTGGATGGGGCCTTAAAAACCTCAAACCTAAATCTGGGACAAACTCCTTAAACCTCATTTTGTCCTGTGAACAATAAGAACATGGCATTCACTGACCTGGCTGACACCATCAGGCACGGATCTATGATACTTTCAAAAACAGCAAACATTGTTCCAAGAAGCCTTGATTTTTTTTTTTTCCCTAAGACAAGTGAAAGAAAGGAAGGAAGGAGGGACGGAAGGCAGAAAAGTGTCATTCATGTGGATGTTTGGAGCACAGAGGTTTAAAAGCTCGGTTTTACTTTTAAATAAAATGTATAGACGTGCATTCTGCCATAACAGCTGGCGAATTTAACATTATAATGTAAACATCTGTTCATGTTCCTATGTTGAAACAAGCACATCAGATGGTAATGTTTAAAAATTCACATGGGGTCTTTAAAATAGTGCTTTGTGATAACGTCTGAAGTAAATGACAAAGTCAGGGAGAGAGAAGGGGGAAAGGGGCAACGAAATCCTTGAACTGTGCCCCCAACTCTCTTGAATCCTGCATCCCCTTCCTCGGCCAGTCATCCTAAATTCAGTTATATCTTAATAGCTGCTTTTACATAATGGGAAATTTTGTTTCAACTCTCTATCCCCCAGGGCTGTGCAAAATTGATATAAGGCAGACACTGCTTGACATGCAATTCTCCGGCCCCTTCTGAAATTCTGCTGAACTGTCCCTTTAGAGCAAATAAAGCAGGTAAACTCAATGGCCATGGAATTGGAACTATTAAATTCAGGGACATAAAATAAGGCACTAGAAGAGATAACTTCCCACTCACAAAGACCTTAAAAAAAAAAAGAGCAAGACTCTAAGAGATTACCTGAGCGGCTGGAGTACAAACAAATTTGAGGGCAGCATTAATAGTCCCTTTCACCTGAGAAGTCCCTCAATGGCAAAAGTAAAGGAATAGCTAACAGGCTCAGAGAAGGGCAGCAGCATTCTGCATTTGAAATGATTGGAAGCACAGAAATGTTCAGGCTAAATGTAGTTCTTTTTTAAAAATAGTTTTTTAATTACCGTATTTATTCTTTTTTTGTTTTGCTTTTTTGGGTGTTTTTTTGAGGTGGGTGAGTAATTAGGTTTTTATTCATTTATTGTTAGTGGAAGTACTGGGGATTGAACCCAGGACCTCGTGCATGCTAGGCACACACTCCACCACTGAGCTATACACCTCCCTAAATATAGCTCTTATGATGACTGATTGGATGCCGTAATTGAGATGTTCAATGCGATTATCCTCATTTCGACCAAAACAATTTGGTTTTGCTGTTGTTCTTTCTTCCTGGGCTTGAATGGATTAACTCCTTTGTGAGTGTCCAGATAAAGAAGTACTGAAACTTAGGAAGGAGAAAGCAGACTCTTGAGACTGAAACCTTAAGCACTCTGCCATCCTGACACACTAGACAGGCCCCAGTGACGTTTGAACTTGCAACCCTACCATGTGATCCAGCCATTCCACTCCTGGGTATATATGTAGAAAAAATGAGAACACTAATTCAAAAAGATGCATGCATCCAAATGTTCCCAGCAGCATCGTTTACAACAGCCAAGCCACGGCAGCAACACAAGTGCCCACCAACAGATGGCTGGATAAAGAAGATGCCGTGCACATACATACAATGGAACACTACTCATCCAGGTAAAAGAATGAAATGCTGCCATTTGCAGCAACATGGATGGACTTAGAGAATATTGTGTTCATTGAAATAAGTCAGACAAATACGGTATGACATCACTTAAACATAGAATCAAAAAAATAACACAAATCAATGTATATACAAAATATAAAACACACTCACAGGTATAAAAAACAAACTTGTGGTTACCAAAGGGAAGAGGAAAGTGAGGAGGAACAATTAAGGTATGGGGTTAACAAATACAAACTACTGCATATAACCAAGATAAGAAACAAGGACCTACTGTATAGCACAGGGAATTACACCCACTAACTTGTAATAACTATAATGGAATGTAATCTGCAAAAATACTGAATCACTATGCTGTGCACCTGAGACTAACACAATATTATAAATTAACTATATTCAATAAAATTAAAAACAAAATAGAAAGGAGGACAACATTTGCACCAGAAATGTCCAGAAAGTCTGAAGAAAAATAAAAATAACATCAGCAGATTAGTTACTTATAAAGCAAAAAAAAAAAAAGAAAAATATTAATTGTAGAACTGAAGGAATAAGAATATGAGTGTTCACTACACAATTATTAAATTTTCATGTATATTTTTAAAGTTTACAATAAAATGTTGGTGAAAATAGAATCAGAAACTGTTCGAGTTAATCAGAAAATAATAAGAAGATAGCCTAAGAATGGGGGAAAATATTTTCACATAATATATCTGACAAGGGTATAGTATCTAGAACATAAAAATAACACTTGCAAGTCAACAATATAAATAAAAATAACTAATAAATTTTTTTTTAAATTCCTTTGCTATGAAGAGATGTTCTATATCTTTGGTCACTAGGAAAATGCAAATCAAAATCACAATGAGATACCAGTTGACACCCACTAGGATGATCATAACAAAAGAGAGAAATACTACAAGCATTGGCAAGAATATGGAGAAATTGGATCCTTCAAATTACTGCTGATAAGCATGTAAATTGGTGTAGCATCTGTGGAAAACAGTTTGGCAGCTCCCCAAAAAGTTAAACATAGAATTACATAAGACCAAGTCATGTCATTTCTAAGTATACATCCAAGAGGGCTGAAAACTTATGTTCACTCAAAAACTTGGACTTGATATTTACAGAAGCATGATTCTACAGATTTATCCAAATGTTCAGTAACTAATAAACGGATAAACAAAATATGATCTGTATATACAATGGAATATTATTCAGCCATAAAAAAGGATGAAGTACTGATGCATGCTACCAAGTGAGCTGTGGCAATGTCATGATGTGTGAAAGAGACCAGACACAA